GACGCACCTGAAGAGGGTTTCATTCAGGGTGGAGAATGTGTTGGCGGAGACTTGTGAGCCGTTTGTAGGCTGCTCTCGGTACGTATGAAGCGAGGGTGCACTCAAAGCGCTAACGGCACCCGACAGTTTTCGCTGCCGATTGGCGCTGAATATTATGGGGTTATTATCTGTCCGTAGCTGGAGCCACTGGTCTTTGCTGGTCTCCCATTCTTGAAGAGAGATGTTTTTCATCGTGCCCTTCTCCATCTCGCCCAAGCCATCCCAACGAGGTGCGGCCATCGGTATGCTTTCGAGTCCATCGAGCATATCTGGCCCATAAATACTTGCTACTGGACTTTGGCTCGACTCCTTCTCGAGCTGTGGCTCGAAGGCTGGGTATAGAGCGGGCTGACTGCGCAGAACCATCAAGTGGTCTGATGCGCCTTGATGAAGAGGCCTCTTCGAGTCACTTATGTCATAGCTCAGGTAAGACTTCCGCATCAGAGCTCTTTCCTGTTGAGACATCATTTTTGGTTGGGCTTGTAAGTGCTGCACATTCGTCGACTGTGTCGGCTTATGGTATGTGGAATGGTCATCATCAAAACCCTCAGATTTCAGATCACCGTCTTGTGCCGTATCGTCAATTTTTTCTCCGAGGTGGACACTATTCAACTTGCTGCAAGTGCTTGCGGGGCGGAATGAATCCAACACCTGACTTGTTGAAAGCCGTCTGGTCAAAGAGACAGAACGCAGCCTTTTCTCGACAACAACAGAGTCACGAGGCACACTTCGGTTTGTTTGCGATCGCTTTGGCACAAAGAGCAGGCCGGTGGTATTTGATCGTGATATGCGTACCTCCGGGTTCATGTTGCCGAAAGCGGGTATAATGCTATTTGTTGGAACTGCCAGCCGAGCAAATTGTCGGGATGAGAGTAACTTATCACCACCAAGAGTGACTGGTTTTGTACTCATCCAATTCTCAGTATTGTCGTCATATAAATGCTGGTTTGACATGGAGGCTTGTATAAGCCAGTTCAAAGATATCTCATCTTCACGCGACATGATTGGGACGACTAAAGTACCATCTGAATCTTTGTTGCGAAGTGTTTTCTCGGAGTTCAGATGGCGGTCGAGCTCAAGATGGACTATGGGAGGTTGGAAAGATGCTCTGTGGGATTTATTGAGGGAGAGCTCGTCAACAAGCAGCAGGTCCGACTGCCAACCAGTGGCTTCGGACTCTGGGTCCCCCGAACGTTCCAGGGATGAATGCAAGTAGGTCTTCCTGGAAGTCAAATCGTATGTGATGGATGCGCCAATAGCGATCATTGCTGCAAATATCAACGATAAGATGACTGGAAAGTAATGTGGTGGCAATGCACCAGCTTCAAGGCGGCTTGGATTATCACCAAGGAACACCACGAGCGAAACTGATGATGCAAGGAAAAACGAAGATAGCACACATTGCAGTAAGATGACGATCATAGAGCTTTGAAAATATGAGGCAGCAGACAGACAAACGCCTAGCGCAAACACGGCGATCGTGAAAATCAAGATCTGTTCGAAATGTCGCTGCCTGTATGCTAATGCCGACAAGACTCCCTGAGCAAAACATAGACCCGCTAGAAGAATGTTGAAAAGCGCTCGAGACCACGACATAGTTGTGCAAGGTTTGATACAAAAAATGGGGTCACCTTAGTGGATAGATAGGTATAGGTTCTTTATGAGCAGTGGTGAGATCTGTTTATGTGCTTGTATGGGTATATGGCAGCTGGTATTCGAATTTCATGAGCAAGTAATACTATCGCAGGATCGATATGGAATGAGTGAAGGCTGAAAGAATAATCGCCTATAGGTGTGGAGTGTGTAATACGGCTGAACTTGATGGTGTAGGCTACGCTTGGTTTGCATCTAGAAGACGACTGAAGCAAGGAAACATTGGAGAATATTTGTGTTTACTACTTGTCCCAAAGAGGAAAATCGGGTGCAAAACTTGCGTCGCCAGGATGACGGCTTGCAGGAAGAGGCGGATGGGCGATCATCGCGCGCAATTTCCGTGTCTCGACCCTGTTGCAAATATGAACCCGGATCCCGCACCGTGAAATTTCTATGGCTTGTGTTCTTTACGGAACCATGAAATCTTGAAGATGTAGATGACAAATTTGTCTTAAAAATCGTTGAACGAGTTTTTTCTAACTTACTTAAGGTCTAACAATAGTGCTTTTCAGAAAACAAAGTCTCCAGAGATCCATCTGTTCACCATGTCCAAAGAGTTCTCTGGTTGGTCGAAAGGAACCATGTGGCCTGCTCCGAATACACGCAAAAAGGTGAAGTGTTTGTAGTTCTTAACTTCACCGGCTGTCTTTTCGTTCACGACCCAGTCTCTGATAGGCTGAGCCTCGAATTTGTCGTGCTCCGACCAAGGCAACCTGTCGACCCAGGCTTGATTGCCCAACCAGTTGCAAATGAAGTCTTTGTCACCGGCGTAGATAAGAACAGGCAACCCAGACTCTAACATCTCGACGACACTCTTGTGGTATGGTCTCATCCAGTCGCCAGCAAACAAAAAGTTTCTGTTAACATCGAAGTTGCAACCTTGGTACTCCTCAACCTCAACACCCAACTTTTTACGAACCTCAGGCAAGTTCAAGTAGTCATCAATGTACTGCAATTCCTCGTAGCACAAGCTAGAGCCCTTGCACTCGGTTCTGATATCGTAGACGTTTCTTCCCGTCTTCTGATATGGACCCATTTGGGCATTGTTACAGTAGATACTGGCAGGCACACATGACCAAACGGAGCCGGAGTTGTAGCAGCTCTCAATCATGGAAGTACATCTGGGAATGGACGCAGCCATGTTATCGCACTCCTCTGGAGACAAAACAGATGGCTCGCCACCTTGGCCACAGGCCATTGGCTGGTAGTACTCGTACTGGGTCAATGGGTCGGTCAAGCCGTTTCCGATCAAGACCGACTTAAAGTTGAAAGAGCGCTCTGGGTGGCTCAAGATCTCAGAAGAAAACACTGGAATGTAGTGGCCTCCGTAAGACTCACCAGCGATGTGGAAGTCGAGTTTCTGGTACTCAGGGAACTGCTTGAAAAACAATTCCAAGAAGGCGTAAACGTCCTTACCGGCTGCAACGGTATTGGTGACGGATTGCGAAGAGTAGGAGAAACCAACGTTCACAGGCTGGTCCAAAAAGATGACGGAGGCATTGTTGTTCCACGAGTATGGGTTGAATTCGGGCTTCAAGTTGGCATTTATGGAAGATGGGCCCAATTCAAAGAACAAGCCGGTCAACGAGGAGCAGCCTGGGCCACCATTCAACCACAAAATAACAGGGTCATTCTTAGGGTCGTTTCTGGATTCGAAGAACCAGTAAAAGAAGTGCTTGTCTTCATCTTCAACGTCCAAGTATCCGGTATACTGCTTAACGAAGTCAATGCCCAAGTCCTCAGGAGTCGACTTGACCCTCAACTTGTGGTTCGGAAACTTCGTGTCGGATACGTGGAAGTCAAAGTTGGCCAGGTTCTTGTTGGCCTTCTTGGCAGGAGTCTTGAAGCTCAACTGAGAAACCTGTTTGGGAAACTCCAAAAACATATCCTGCCACAACTTGACAGCATCCTGAGGGATGCCACCGAAGGGCTCACTGAAGTATTGTGTGAGCTTGGCAAGAACATCTCCCTTCTTCAGGTCTAAAGCCTCAACAATCTGAGAGTACTGAGAGCTCACGTGATCCCAGTTGTTGATAAGAACTTGCTGAGTGTTCTCAAATCTAGCACCGGCGGCAAAGTTGGGGAGAATGGCAGCATTGGCGCCCGCCGTGGCACAGGCCAAAGTGGCCAAGGAGGCGATTTTCATCGGGGTAAGCAAACGAAAGGGGGTGCCGAATCTAAAACGATAAAGGTCTAATGGAGGACGGCTTCACCACGTAAATAGCAAAGACTGGCCTCTATATATTAGAGCTTGATTCTGGTCAACGGATTCAAAGATTCCTTTTGATAGAAAGAAAGTGGTTGGAAGATAAGGAGTTGTGGATTGCGATATGTGGGGCGACAAGGGGCTGGGAGGCAATAACCGAGCCAATTCGGTGGATGGCTGGCGCTTGGGGGGCGAAGTGTGGGCGAGGTGCAGGACAGTCATTTGAGATAACGCGCATCTTGCTGAATCGAGCCTTGGTGCTCCGAATTGGGTATGACCGAGCAAAATCTGCTTTTTTGCTCCGCGCATGACCAACCTTCACAAGCTTACATAGGCGTGTTCCCTGAACCAAGTATTGAGACATGTGGGATTATTTTATAAATGCCCGTAGCAGCAGTATAAAAACGAGCAAGATTTCTCTAATTTGATCACATCTGCGGGCACCCTGTTGGCAGGGTCAACGCGCGTAGGGTCACTGCGGGTGTGACATCACCTGTGAGGTTAGCAATCTACCAAACATATTTCAAAGGTATGATATCTACGAGCTGCGAAATTCGTGTACCATGCCATAAGTGGATGTTTGAATCGTCAGATCCTTTCGCCTTTCGGTGGTAGCATTTTTATGGCCATTTTCGCAGTTGATTTCCTCTTTTGATGCCCACTTGGAATGGCTACGTCATTGATGTGACCGTTCTGATAAGCAAGTGTCCGTACTGCGATCGCTTGGCAGCAGCGACTGATGTGGAGAATGAAGTTTTTTTTTCTTGAAAATGGATTGGGTAGGAATATCTCATCTACAACTTTTTTTTCTTTTTTGAGAAGTATCACCTTTGGGGACGCTCTCATCAGAGTGCGCCCCTCTTTATTTTCACAATTTTTTTTGTGATTTGGAATCTTACTCCGGCGTTGCAGGTATGATTTCCATTTCCATTCTCAGTTCGCAAGACTTTTGGGGTTTAAGATGCATCCTGTTTAGTTCTAGATGGTATAGAAAACTAGCGCCTTTTTTACAACAACAAGAATGCCTGTGTGGCGTAATGGTTAGCGCATTTGACTTCTAATCAAAAGATTCCGGGTTCGAGTCCCGGCATGGGTTCTGGTTGCGGCTTTAGCTCAGTTGGGAGAGCGTCAGACTGAAGATCTGAAGGTCCTGTGTTCGATCCACAGAAATCGCATTACTTTTTTGATTTTTATATCTTTTTGATTTTCGTTTTCACTTCCCGAGAATACTTTTCGCCATTCGCGACGAGGAGCAGAGGCGGATCGACTGTACAGCTAGGACAGTGTGCCCATGAACTGCATGAAATGGGGATTCTTGCTAGATTGCGCGGATGTGAAAATTCAAGAGTTGTTTTGGGCAAAGGTATTTCGGGCAAGGTCGAGCTTCACCAAAAGGGTAAATCAAGTTACGTTGTCAAAACATACCACTGCAAAGAGGAGCACGAGTCTCGTAAAGAGTATAGGAAACGTGTATTGTATGAGTATCACCTATTAGCCTCAATCGACCACCCAAACTTCATTAAGGTTGTAAAGTCGGACGTCTCGCTCGATGGGCTAAGCGTGAAAATGTACATGGAGGCGGGCGCGCAAGATTTAGGGGCGTTGCTCAAACACTCACACGATAGACTTACAAGAATGGAGGTGTTTTCTATATGGAAGCAGATATGCGAAGGACTAAGGTATCTTCACCTGATAGGATTGTGTCACAGAGACTTGAAGCTCGAAAACTTGGTAATGGATAGGTCATTTTCGAAGGTAAAGATCATCGACTTAGTCACCGCAACCGACTGTCGCCAGCCGGCAGTGGGAATAGTTGGTTCTGCTCGCTACATGGCCCCGGAGATGGCCTCTAAGATATCATATGATGGCCTGAAAGTGGACATATGGTCGATTGGGATCATAGTGTTTTACCTCATTTCTCGTGAATTTCCATGGAAGCAAGCGTCACATGTGGACCCGAGATTTGTTGCATATAATCAGAGGCAAATGCTGGGGAAAGATGGGGTGTCCAATGGAGATTCGTTCCCTCTTCCTGCTCGGGACAAAAATAATGATTTCTTTCGAGAATACCCGGCTTCGGCGGTCTTGTTGCTTTCTCAAATGCTACTGGTGGATCCAGATCGTCGAAAAAGCATTGATTCCATCTGTGCTGATGAGTGGTTCCACACACTCAACGTCTGTGCATTTAAATCTCTTCTCAAAGGCCATGAGGACTCAATCCAATGAAAAGGTACAGATTTCTTGATTTCGAGGTCGTACAGTAAACTGCTTGTGAAATTAATAAATTTAGCAAGGACAGACGAAATTTGCATTCTTGCTCGAAGAAGACTGGAAGATGCTCTATTAGACCGCGAACATATAGACTTATAAGCACATACGGCAAACTTGCAATGAATTGCTTAAGCAGTGAGTTTTATTAATTCTGTGTGAGAACTGGAGCCTGGCTAACATTTTCCACGATTCAGTTATTTCAAAATGGGGTTATTATCATGGTTTGGAGCCTCGCTTACATATAAAAGGGAAATTCCGCATTTGACCCGCGCATGCTGCGGTTCTTTTCAAGATCTGACTCCTTTGACTCCTCTGAACAGAGTCAATACAACACAACGTGTGTGGAACTTACAAACCAGAAAATATTTTTTTGCAAGAGTGTGACCATAGTATGTGTGAAAAAATGAAACTCTTGTCTTGGTCGAAAGTATTCAGTCGAGAATACCTGCTGGATCGAGTGGAGTGCCCAGAAAGGTAAATGAAATGTAAAATCATAAAACTTCAGACAGTAATGTCCACGCCATCCACGCCAATAAAATGTATTTGATTCGAAGTCTAGATCTAATGACTATGAAAACACGCTTTTGACTCCTTTTTTCGGAAAAGAAACTGAAAGCAGTCAAAAGCGTGTCTCTTGCGTCTTGCGGCGTAACTCCGATAGTCGCGATAAGCGAGAGGAGGGACTCTGACAGTGCTCATGGAATATTTTACTGAAAGCTTTTGAAAAAGGTTGTGGGTCTCATAGACAAATTTCAATCCATGAATACACATTAATACTGGGAATTATCTCGGAAGATATTTCTTGTCTCTGAAAGAAACCTCGTAAGTAGTTACCTTAAGACCTTAAGTTGCCTTTTTTTTTGCACCCAGATTCACTTGCGCGGTGGAGTTGGATTGTCGCAATGAAAGATCGAGCCTGGAGACTGGTCTAATCTATTTACAACATTCTTTCAGTAAAGAGCAACCAGAAAGTCGTCAGAGACACAAAATTCTCAAGTTGGCATAGTAAATGTGAAAGAACAGTATTGTGTTCGGGAGTAAGTGCCCGTAAACTAGCCACGGAAGTCCACGTCACGTGACCATATACTTCACGCATCCGGTGACTCAGATTTTTTCACTATAAGAAACGCACATTCACCACAGATAACAGCCCTTGACACCCGAAAAACATGTATTCTCGCTCCGTCAGCACTTTCAAGACCTTGCCTCGGCTTGCGTTGGCCAGAAGCTACGCGCTCTCCGCCAGCGCTCAAGCTCTTATCTCGAAGCCCGTGAGAGAGGTGGACCCAGAGATGGCGCTGATCTTGCAGCAAGAAAAGGATAGACAAAGAAACTCCATCACGTTGATTCCCTCGGAAAACTTCACTTCCAAGGCCGTGATGGACTTGTTGGGCTCTGAGATGCAAAATAAGTACTCTGAGGGGTACCCTGGCGAGAGATACTACGGTGGTAATGAGATCATCGACAAGGCCGAGTCTCTCTGCAGAACCAGAGCGTTGGAGGCATTTGACTTGGACTCCGCCGAGTGGGGTGTGAACGTGCAGGCTTTGTCCGGCGCACCGGCCAACTTGTATGCCTACTCGGCCATTTTGGACGTGGGCGACAGAATCATGGGCTTGGATTTGCCACATGGCGGCCATTTATCCCATGGCTACCAGACGCCCTCGGCCAAGATCTCGTACATCTCTAAGTACTTCCAGACGATGCCATACCGGTTGAACGAGGAGACTGGTTTGATCGACTACGACACGTTGGAGAAAAACGCGGTGTTGTTCCGCCCCAAGGTGATTGTGGCTGGTGCATCGGCCTACTCTAGAGTGATCGACTACAAGAGAATGAGGGCCATTGCTGACAAGGTAGGCGCATACCTTTTGTCAGACATGGCTCACATCTCCGGGTTGGTTTCCGCGGGCGTGACGGCGTCGCCATTCCCTTACTCGGATATTGTAACGACCACCACCCACAAGTCGTTGAGAGGCCCTCGTGGTGCGATGATTTTCTTCAGAAAGGGCATCAGAAAGGTCACGAAGAAGGGTAAGGAGATCCCCTATGACTTGGAGAGGAAAATCAACTTCTCCGTGTTTCCTGCACACCAGGGTGGCCCACACAACCACACGATTTCTGCGTTGGCCGTTGCGTTGAAGCAGTGCTCTGCGCCTGAGTACAAGGAGTACCAGCAAAATGTCGTGGACAATGCCAAGGCGTTTGCCACCGCGTTGGAGTCGAAGGGCTTTGACTTGGTCTCGAACGGTACGGACACGCACTTGATTCTTGTCGACTTGCGCTCGAAGAACATCGATGGCGCACGTGTCGAGGCAGTTTTGGAGAGAGCTAATATTGCTGCCAACAAGAACACCGTGCCTGGTGACAAGTCTGCGCTCTTCCCTAGTGGATTGAGAGTGGGCACTCCCGCCATGACCACCAGAGGCTTTGGCGCCGACGAATTCGCCAAGGTAGCCGAGTATTTCCAGAGAGCCGTGGACATTGCCATTGACTTGAAGACGAAGGAGCAGGGCTCAGTTGCTAAGGAATTGATTGCATCTTTCAAGCAGTTGGCCGACGAGAGCGCCGAGGTCAAGGCCTTGGACAAGGAGGTGCAGGCTTGGGCCAGCGAGTACCCAGTTCCTGGTGACTTGTAGATACGCAAGAATGTACAGAATTTAAGTATCTTTAAAGCGCTTGAGAATGTCCGCCTGTACGGATATGCTAAAATCTCCAGGCGTATCTCAAAAGAATAGCGAGATCGGTTTGTGAGGCAGACAGAAGAAATGAAGTCTATATGTTAAACAATGTTTTCCCACACAAGTGAGTCGATTCATGCCTTCAGGCTTATATAGCCAAATGCGTAGATAAGACCAATTGCGCATGCATGCTTTATTTTTCAATCTTGTTTTCAAATTGCAAACACTCGTCAAAGATACAGAATAGAACCAGCACAGGTATCCCGGCCCCGGAAGTTATTTTATTTTATTCCATTTAATTTGATTTACTTATTAAAGAAAGACAGGGCATTTTGCGCATGATCCCGTCTTTTCTCCATCGCTTCTTCTTAGAATACTCAACTGGCCATATCTGCTCCGTCTCTGGCGTCGCCACACGGTCCATCTACACCTCCATAAGTATTGAAGTATAGCTCTTCTTATGCCATGTTATCTAGACCTATCTTATCATAGCCATAATCTTGTGACCACTCGCTTTTTCACCTGGCCCTTACGATTGTTCAACATTATGCGCCTCTCACTTCTCTTAATTGAACAAATTTGATAGACTTCTCCACCCAAAGCTGGGGATTTATTTTTGGAGATTTATCGCGTTGTAAACCGATTTCGAAAAATTTAGCAGCGAAATAAAAAAAAAGACTGCAACACTGTAATTTCGCATATGGTCTCCCACTACACTACTCAGTACAGCTCTGCGAAGGTTAACTAACGTTGATCGGACGGGAAACAGTGTTTTCTTCGCGATGTGGTCGCAGCCGGCTGTTTTGTACCGTAGATTAACATATTCTATAATTCATTTACAGCACCCTCTTACGACCGAACTCTGGCCGTCCACAAAAAGAAATGAGGAATGGGAAAGATAAGCTAGTGGCTCACACCTCAAGGACTTCCGCTACTCAGTTCTCCTCTTGAAGAAGGCTTTCAGGGGTTGTATCTGTACTTATAAGGATATAGTTTTCTCTCCGATAATCTGATTCTCCTAAAAAACCCATACAGCGGCTATGGTGAGAAGATAGATCTAAGGCTTGGAAGATTCAGATGACTGTTTGGGTTTGGGGCCTACCTGACAACTAGAATGGCAAAAATTTCAATTTTTACATGCGCGAAAAAAAAAAAAAATGCCACTGGGATTTGGCCAAGTCGATCTCCGTTCTTTTCTGGAAGCTTCCTAGACCTATGTCAAG